ATTGCACTCATCTGTCTTGAGCCCAATAACTTTCTTATTTTTTAAGGGCATCTTAAATTTATTATTTTCTCGATAATCTGATGTATCCAATTATTGTATGTCACCATTCATCTTTTAGTAAATATTATGGTTTGTAATTTCATAGTTAAAACTGTCTGTTCAGTGTAGAGTAATTTACAATTATTTTTTAGCTTGGAGAGCATATAGTCATAGTGAAGCGATGAACAAGAGTTTTAGACAAGTCTAACACACTAAATCCAATATATATATAGGCTTTCTTATTTTTACTTTTGTACTTTGCAGTTGAATGGCTATGAAATTTTCATCGAAAATATCACAGCTGTGAAAATTAGGTTAAGAAATGTAAGATCTTGCACCATGTCGTCCACTCCAATGATCCAAGAGCTTAACATCATTACGTTTTCTCTCGTTTTCTTTGTCTTACCAAAAATTGCATTATTAAATAGTTTGAAAAGCATTTTTTCTAACTTATTTTTACACTTTTTTCTCTGATTACTATTTAGATCAACATATTCCTTGAGCCATGCACTTTGCCAAAATTTTAAAGCACGATGAATTTTTGAGATTCGTTATGCATGGTCTACGGCTTGCTTAAGTGCTTCATAATGCAATACATAAGTCTTCTTATTATACAATGTTGTCATTAATTTTGTCTGTTTGGATCTAGGAGTCACTGTATAATGTGAACAAAATGGTTAATCTTTATGACAATCATGAAGCTCATGTGGGTTCTCCAAATCAACCTTGAAAATATAACCGTTAACACTTTCACTGCCAACTTTTTAAAAATCTTGAGGCTGTTCTTGAATATTTTCAACCCACTTTAATCCCCCATAAGGCGGTGGTTGAGTCATTACCCCACAATATAAATTATTTACACTAAAATAAACTATACCCTTTTCGGCTTTATCTTTTTGATAATTTTTTATGTACTGATTATTGGCCTCAGCATATCTGTTACAGCATTGGCTGATTCCACCTCTAATTTCCCTTTCAATGAATAAAAAAATATCAATATCGATAATAAGTTCCAGTGAAATCTAAAAATAACTATGAATTAATAATTTGTACGAAAATAACATTAGTTGTACTAAAGTATATAACAATTTACGTATGTTTTTTTAACATAGCATCCCAAGTAAATCCTGATGTAGTTAAATAGTATGTGGGATCTAATTTATATATTTTTAAACAATTATTTTAGAAGTTTTCAAAAATTTCTGTTAATAAAAGCACATCAGCTTTGAGATATGAGTCTGAGTATTCTCCAAGGTTTTATTATTACTTATATGAGTGTTATATAATCTACTGTAAAAATTCTTTTGAGAAGACAGCCTAGTTTCTTTTAGTTTCTCATACGATGACACATAATTGTATGGAAATATAACTTTTTTTTTAAGGTAGTAGTTTAGTTAAGTATATCGTGTGGCATACCGCACTATAGAGTATGCATAGGTTATGTAGTCTTTACTGTACAGCTGTCATTGTCCCTCTCACGCAACTACACGATAGTTTTTAACTTTGGAAAGCTTAAATACAAAAACTGTAAGGCTAGGCTTCTTGAGACTTGGTATTTAGTTTATTTATAATATCAATTATAACACATCATTTTTTTTACAGAATTGATCGTTTCGTTCAGGATGAATGATTTCATTTCAAATCATACCCCAAACCAGGCACTTTCTTATCTCTTAAATGTTAAAAGATCAACAGTAAATCTTTAATATCTCTGAAACTACATGGCTGGGCATCTTCAAATTTGGACTCGTGATGAACTATAGCAAACTTAAGCCACACGTAAAATTTTAGAAAAATCTATCGTCTAGTCGTTTTATTGCACTACAACCTCACATGTTAATTTGGTCTAAAGAGTAAGCATTATCTTGACTTAAAGCATACTCTCAAATTATATACTCCTCCAAGTAGGATGCCAATTTATCTAGAGATAATGGTAAAAATCGAAACGAGTCAATGAAGCGTAAGTTAATGCTCGTCCCTTCAACATATTTTGTGAAAGAAATATACTTTTCTTTCATTTGGAGAATGACTTGTACTCATCCGAGAAAACAAGTAATAAGTTTTTAAATAAATAAATGTGCATCATCATTACTAAAGTTATGAAAAACTATGGGTGTTGATCGAGAGTCTTAGTACTTGATATTGCATTGAATATGTGCAGCTCCTCGATATCTATAAAAATTAGATTTTTTTTTTAAGAAAAAAATGTTTTTAATAAGGTCAATGTATCATACTTACTTTCCAGTTAAATGACAATGGTCACGAACTTTGTTAATATTCGTAATTGCTTTTTCACATATATGACACCTGTCCACATCGAAAAAATGATAATCTTCCTGATCAGTAAGAGGTCTCATTGGTACTGGATCATTCTATATGCTTTGGAGCTTCAAGGCAAGATCACCCATTTTTTTTAAAACCAAGTAGCCGAATCTTCGTCAATTTTATTGTCTTATCTATAAAACACGTATCGTGATTCAGCAGTATCGAAATTGCACTTTACGTAAAATCCCACACTTAGAGTTTTATGATGTTGTATGGCTTTTTGTATGGTGATGTTGTATCTTTACTTTCTATTCCTTCTTCTTCCTCGTATTCTTTATCTTCCAGATATTCTTTATTTTGCACGGCATTATCAATATATTTTTCAACGTCCACTTGGTTTTTATTTATTTATTTTTTTTTTTTTCATGCTTCCACCATCACTTATATCTGTTGAGTAATATTCTACAAGCAGTAGATTTACATGTTTATTTTTTTCTCTGCCGTCAAATGGAGGGGTACTGTTTTAAAGTTTTTTTTTTCTCTATAAAACAAACATTAATTGGAATATTATTTTGTTTTTCAAATTAAGGTATCTGTTAAGGTTGGACGGGGTAGGTAATGCCTCTAAAGTTGTAATTATTTTAATATTTTGTGTAACTAGAGACGCGATCTTATCTATTATGCGTAGGATGTAAAGAAGATGAAATGGACCATTTAAATAACTGTCTATCTGCATTTTGAATATTTATGCAAGCTTTTTTAACGATAGTAGGTGGAAGGTCAATGTAAGAACTTTCATTTATTGCACAATACTTATTAATATTCACTATTAAATTTTAAATGAGGTGCAGGGTCCATCCAGAGTCTTCCTGCTGAAACTCTTGAACGCTGGCGCAAATAGGATTCTGTATATGTATTTCAAACCATTTATGCAAGTTTCTTGTATAGAAAATGCACTCCGACTCAGTATCAAAATATTTTACTTCAATAGTCTCTACATCGTTCTTAACTATAGAAAACTCAGCTGAAAGTCTGGTATTAAGTTTCAGGGTGTGCTGTAGATTCAAAATTTCTTGCAATTTTGAAACAAATGTTTTTTCTGCAGATTTAAAAAATGTCATTACATATACGTGCTAACTCGCAGCAATTACAACAGTCCGCATACGCTTTTTAAATGCACTATTAGTTTCTTCCCACGTGACACTCTCCGCATCCCTTCAGCAGATGTAGTAATTCCTAATCCTTACACTTCACATTTTGTATGAAATGTTGCTAGAAAAGTTGATACTAGACATTCAACATTTAACAAGTGTTTTCCGATGTGTGATGATAACTTAAGGGATTTCTTGTAGTCTGAAATACTTTTGAGCACTATTTTACAATTATCAATCAGATCTTAAATACTCGTAACGTTATTATCATTTAACAAACGTTGATGTTCTAGTCGTGCTTTATCACAAAAAATGACGTAACGTTCTATAGAATCATCATTCGCAAAGTTTGCGAATAGTTGGTCCATGATGCTGATTGTGAGCGATAACTTACTCGACTAATAGCATGCTCCACTTTAACCTTTATTTATTGCACTTTATCTATGGAATTCTGTAAGAGAGAGACAACTAGCGGTTACATAGTATAAATACCATGAAATGTATACACAACATCATGCTTTTATATTAGTGTAGAAAAGACTCTCCATCAATAGTGTTAACTGTGGATATTTCTCTAAGGTGCACTCCAGCAACTTGAGATATTTTTCTCGAATTCGCTAAAATCCTCCCAAATCATGTGCATGCCGCATTTCTTCTTGTGAAAGTAACGCATTGCGAATGTTATATTAAGATGATGTATGCTCACATAATATTCTTACATTCCCCATTTAAATGCTTCTAGAACCAAGTATAAAGCAATTAAAAGTAAGGTAATGATTTTCTAGAAAAGCTTTTTGGCAAAGAGCGAGTTTTATCTGACACATACAGTAATATCACAAATTTGTTTTATGCCCTTAGGGTCCACTCCATTAACAGGCGTCACTATCTTCTTCACCACGTTTAAATAACATGCACATCCAATTTTTCTGCTTTTTATGACTTGGCAAAAGAGTCGTGTAAAATATTTAAAAATACTTTCTACGTAAAATCAATAACACCTAAGAAATATTTTGAAAATGTTTTAAATTTTACAAAATTTTTATTCCAAAATCCTTATCACAACTTTCATTCCCATGCTACCCCTTCTCTCAGCAACTTGACACTGCTGCTTTGAGGTGTATATAAGCGAACTACTAAGGGTGAAAAATTCATTCACCAACAGTTCTTCAAGATTTCGAAGTCGTTTTCTAGTAGCATGGAGAATCAGAGGTGTTTCAACGAAGCATCTGCGCTGTTGTACTCATTATTAGATGAATTTTGACAGCATTCAATTTACTTGCAACCAAGATTCAATTTACAAAATATTTAAGATGTCATTCCGCCTGATGATGCTAAAATACTGGAGTGCTTAAGTAAATATTTCTTATTGTTACAGAGCCTGAACCTGTAGTGAGATTAGTTTTTGGAATGTGTCAGATGTCATTTTATCCACTATCTAAGGTAAGTTTTTATATTTACAAGATGAAAAAATAATAAGTTTTTAATTCGTTTCTTTTTTATATTTCAGAGCCGCTTGATTTAACACTGTGAAATGCAGTAGCTAAGATGACCAATAACGTTGAGAGGTTTCTACGTCCTTTATCATCTCCAAGCAACAGCGGCCTGTTGTAGTATATGCCACCATCACCAGCTCAATCGGATGAAAATGCTGTTTGTAGACCGCGACCATCAACACCGTCACCAGCATCCCCAACTTCCCCCTTCACGGAGACATTTGAGGTTCAGCCGCCAGTAACTTTTCTGGAAGAGTCCAGAACTATACCATTGGTGGATTTGACTGAGTCATCTCCTTCAGCACCAGGGATCATTAAAGAGGTTCGATATAGTGTAAGAAGAACTCGTAAAATATGTAAAAAAAAATTAAACCAGGTTTGATGTAAATTATTTTATAACAATACGTAATAAGTAATAGATTATACATTTTCAATTTGTGAAATTCAATTTGTAATTACATTTACTTACGTATTTTTGAAGTATAGTTACAGTTAATAAATATTATGAACTAATACCTTATGTTCTCATTTAAATTACTTATACGAAGCCTTTCCTTGTTACTTACTTACAAAAATCGAGAAATCATAAGAAAATAAAGTAAACTCATAAATTTACCAAAAAAAAAAAAAAAAAGTAGAAATCAAGTCTTCAATGGATCCATATGATTAACTATTTTATACCAATGAGATGGTTAACCAACTGAGCTATTAAGGACATGCATATTTCAGAAGACGAATGAGATCTACATTTCACAACAATGGCATTCACACATGCTAACCTCGTGCATGCAAACGATCGCATATGTACGCGTGTGCTTGTACAAGAGTAACGTATGAGCATGCATGTTATTCCGTATGAGTAAGCGTAAGTATTCAAGCGTGTGCATAAGACATCGAACAAACAAGTATACATACACATACATAGAGTGCTTGAATCCTTGTCTCATAGCAAGAGGAGGAAAGAGAGAGCACTTTGCTGAGCAAGATATATAACGCATGAGCCCAATCTTACAGCACAAGGTTCCACCACTGGCGTAGTATTCCTCACTATCATGCTGAGAGTGTTAGAAAGAGAGAGAGAAAGAGATATAACGCGTGGACCTTTGCACAAGGAGAAAGAGAGAGCACTCGGAAAATAAGATGTATATATATAGATAACGCTCGGACCACGTCTAATAGCTCGTCTTATAGTACCCCCTTCCGCCTGGTGCAGTATCGCATTGTCCCCACTTCTACCGTAGGGGGCCAGCTGGGGGGAGGGGAAAGCATTGAGCTGCCATAGTTTATCTACTGTTATACAAAGAGTTAATAGTGAACTATAAGATAAAATATCATAAGGCGTCTCATATCGCATTTATTTTTATACCTACTTTTAACATAGCCTGTTTGTTTTATTAGATTAGCTGAAGTAATACGAAAAATTTTACTGCAGGACGCCCCTGTAGACAACGTTCCTGGACTTAAGCCATTTGACCCCTAAAAAGCAACAAATATACACACTTGCACACAAACTTTTACTTTTATCAGTCAAAAATAAGATCGGATGTTTTATACGTTCTATTATATTATAGAAGGATATAGTAGGGAGTAATATAGTAACATATCCCTGCTCCCGTGTGAATTTCGAAAAAAAGTATAGCCTATCTGTTAACCCAGAATTTTAGCTACCTCCATATTAAATTTCATAGTAATTGGTCCAGCAGTTTGACTGTTACAAAGTTACAAACATGCATAAAAACTTAAACCTTTAAAATATTAGTCAAATACCTGAAGAGCCACTTTAAATATTAATCATGTTTAATTACGAATGCAAAAAGTACGGGTCCAAGCACTTCTTGCATTATTTAATTTGTTTCATTAGTGTATTATTATTTATTTAATAGCGTAATGTGATTTTTGCATACATATAACTTTATTAATTTTAAGTATAAACTAAAACTATAATTTCTTATAATGAAAGATTTCAAGCATAACTTAAGTGTTTTTAAATATTTTTAAGTTATAAAATTATTTTCTTAACAAGTGACCTTTCCGTCAAGACAGCAAGTGACTTTTCAAGTCTGGAGAAAAAACGATGGATGAGAATCAATATGGAAATATGTTTGGTAACTAAGTATATGACTAGTGATTATTAAAAAAAATGCGTTAAATCAAGGTGTATACTACTCATAACCTGAATTTTTATAATTGAAATTCTCACTATAAGGCTTTAAGTAGGACCTTTTTTCTAAGCTTAAGCAAAATTCAATATTATTACTAAAATCTATTTTTTAACTAAGCAGATTTTAGTTTCACAAATATTCTAAGCTTTTTGTTAATTTTTAGATGATGCTGGAATAACTAAAACTGTTGACTACTCTACATGTCCTGCTTTGTAAAAAATCAATAAATCATTTGTTACATATTGTATGGAAAAAAGCTTTGCACGTTTTTAGAACACAGATGGTCAGTTAAGAGAATCTTCACCTATTCACGAAGAGGTGGATGGTAAACAAAAAAAAAATGATGCAAAAGTCACTATTTATTAACAAATTAAAAAAAAAAAAGTTGTTAAAAGTGGATGGCTCATTTATTTACTATCAACAGCATCTATGGATTGTTCTTTGTCTAATTTACTTTTACCAAAAAATAGCCAGTTTGGCTCATGTTGTTTTGAAGACTAAAAAAATTGTACGGTTTGCGTAAAATACCGTGAAGAAAGCCCAAAACACCAAGAATGTCTAATCATGTATAGTAAAAAAAAGCATTGTGGGGGTTGTATCGATTATTATATAACACAGCAACTTAACAAAGAAAGTGAGTTCTGAAAATCTTTATTGCAACGATTAATCATTTTAATCAAGTTTATACCCACTCGAGGACTGGCCTTCTGAGAATTAGATTAAGTCATTGGATTCAAATAAATGGTATTTACTTAGAGTTCTTAGAATTGATTAGCGAATTTAATTTAATGCAAAAGAGTCGTTTTGAAACTTATGGCAATAGAGATATTCGACAAACATCTTACTTGTCTGCAAACGTTTGCTTTGAACTTATAGAAATAATGTAATAATAAACTTTAAATTATATTGTTAATGAAAAAGATCGAGCTGAATATTAATCAAATTCTATTGATTCTACGCCAGATATTAGCCTTGTCTGGATAAATTAGTATTCACTGTTGGCTATGTAAATGATTCGCAACTTGTAGAAAGATTCCTGGGTCTCATTTTGATAGAGTCTCATGAATCTGAGTATTTTTTTATGTCGTCACTAATTTTTAATGACATTGATATATATATATATAT